CCAGTTCTCAAGCCTTCTGAGTGGTAAGGACACTGAATCTTAAAGAGAAGGGGCCAAGGTTTGTTTGCTTTCTTCCTAGGAAGCTTCTTGGTCCCCAGGCAGATTTACACCTAGTGACCACCTCTGTATACCAAGCTTTGAGGGACAGACTTTGTCAGGTCACAAAAGGTCCTCTTACCCTTCTCCCAGAGTGGCAGGTGCCTGTTCATCATATATTTACATAACTAAGGAAGGCCAGTCATCGATTTTCCCTGAAAAAAAGCAGATACATTCTAAAGTGACTTTGTCTGTTCAGTAAAACCAACGGTTCTTAAACTTTTTGGTCTCAGCACCCCATTTCTACTCTTAAAAATTGAGCTTTTATTTTGTGAGTTCTATTTACGGATGTTTATTATATTAGAAATTAGACAAACTTAAAAGTAATCATTAATTCATTTAAAAATAACAGTAAAAACCATATACATGTTAGCACAAATAATATATATATATATATATATATATATATATTTTTTTTTTTTTTTTGAGACAGAGTTTTGCTCTTGTTACCCAGGCTGGAGTGCAATGGCATGATCTTGGCTCACTGCAACCTCGGCCTCCCGGGTTCAAGCAATTCTCCTGCCTCAGCCTCCAGAGTAGCTGGGACTACAGACGTGCGCCACCATGCCCAGCTAATTTTCATATTTTTAGTAGAGACGGGGTTTCACCTTGCTGGCCAGGATGGTCTCGATTAATTGACCTCGTGATCCACCCGCCTCAGCCTCCCAAAGTGCTGGGATTACAGGCGTGAGCCACCGCGCCCGGCCATAATATGTATTTTATAAAAATAACTATTTATTCCAAAACAAAAAGGATTTAATGAGAAGGATGGTGGTTCATGGTTTTACAAATTTGTTTAATATTTGGTCTAACAAAAGACATTTGGTTCTCATAGTTGCTTTTTCAATCAATCTGCTGTAATGTTATTTTGGTTGAAGTAGTTAAAATTCAGCCTCACATAGGCATAACGCTGGAAAATAGAGGAGTATTTTGTTAGCATTTTTAGATAATCATAGGTATTATTCTTTGGTGCCCTACCAAAACTTGACAAGTGGTAATTTCTTAAAATGTAGTTGCAATGTAGAATCTGAATTCACATCAATGAACTTTTTGTACTCTGTTATATTAAAATTCATTGGTTTATTTTGCACTATGAATGGATCTTTTGCCCATGCATAATTTTGTAACATCATGCACTGGTCATGTGGAAAATACTAGTTCCCTGAATGACGTAGATCTTCCAAATATTGGTGCTTTTCATTACACAATATTAAAAGAATCACATTTGTGATTATCACCATTGATCTCAGCAGAAAAATCTTAAGTTTGGGGAGCTTTCAAGCTCACACTGGCAGATTCAAGTTTTTGAAAATTCTAGGTTTTGCTTGAAAGCTCAAAGTTTATTTTATTTTATTTATTTATTTTTTGAGATGGAGTTTCCCTGCTGTTGCCCAGGCTGGAGTGCAATGGCGTGATCTCGGCTCACTGCAACCTCCACTTCCTGGGTTCAAGTGATTCTCCTGTCTCAGGCTCCCAAGTAGCTGGGTTTACAGGTGTCCGCCACCATGCCCAGATAATTTTTGTATTTTTAGTAGAGATGGGTTTTCACCATGTTGGCCAGGTTGGTCTCAAACTCCTGACCTCAGGTGATGCACACGCCTCGGCCTCCCACAGTGCTGGGATTACAGGTGTGAGCCACTGCACCCGGTTGAAAGCTCAAATTCTATTACTGGCAACCAACACTGGCAGTTGAATTCCTTAAAATGACAGGTTCACTTCATTTAAGATTGAGACAGTGTGCCAAATATCGAAGCCTAAATAATCATACATCTGTCAGTTGTTCTTTCAAGTAAAAGTGATGTTCCAGCTGGGTGTGGTGGCACATGCCTGTAATCCCAGAAATTTGGGAGGCTGAGGTGGGTGAATCACTTGAGCTCAGGAGTTCGAGGCCAGCCTGGGAAACTTGGTGAAACCCGGTCTCTACAAAAATGTAAAAATTAGTTGGATATGGTAGCATATGCCTATAGTCTCAGCTGTTTGGGAGGATAAAGTGGAAGGATTGTTTGAACCCAGGAGGCAGAGGGTACAGTGAGACAAGATCGAGCCACTGCACTCTAGCCTGGGTGACAGAGCGAGACTCCGTCTCAAAAAGAAAGAAAGAAAGAAAAGATAAATACTTGAGACTGGGTAATATATAAAAAAAGAAGTGCCGGGCGCGGTGGCTCAAGCCTGTAATCCCAGCACTTTGGGAGGCCGAGGCGGGTGGATCACGAGGTCAAGAGATCGAGACCATCCTGGTCAACATGGTGAAACCCCATCTCTACTAAAAATACAAAACATTAGCTGGGCATGGTGGCACATGCCTGTAATCCCAGCTACTCAGGAGGTTGAGGCAGGAGAATTGCCTGAGCCCAGGAGGCGGAGGTTGCGGTGAGCCGAGATCGCGCCATTGCACTCCAGCCTGGGTAACAAGAGCGAAACTCCGTCTTAAAAAAAAAAAAAAAAAGAAGTTTCATTGGCTTATGACTCTACAGGCTGTACAGGAAGCACAGTGGCACCTGCTTCTGGGGAGGCCTTGGGAAGCTTCCAATCATGGTGGAAGGCAAAGGGGGAGCAGGTGTCTCACATGGTGAAAGCAGGAGTAAGACAGAGAACTGGGGAGAGGTGCCACACAGATCTCCTGTGAACTACTCACTATCGTGAGGACAGCACCAAGGGGATGGTGCTGATAACCATTCTCATGAGAAATCCACCCCCATGATCCAACCACCTCCACCAGGCCCTGCCTTTAATATGGGGGATCACAGTTTGATATGAGATTTAGGTGGGACTAATATACAAACTATGTCAGAGTAAGCCCTGCGGGATGGAGGATTGGCATCCAGGTGGCTGACCTCTGGGCTAAGCAGTTTGGAACTCTGGTGCCATACCCAACTGCATGTTGGCTTCAGTCATCCCTCTAGAGCTCAGCCAAGACTGCGTTTTTGCTAGGAATACAACACTTAACCAACCATTGCTAACAAATTCACCTGCACAGGACATCACAGAACAGTTTCGTTCTTGAAAGAGATTTCAAAGTCAAATAAGTTCTTTTTTGAGATGGAGTCTCTCTCTGTCTCCCAGGTTGGAGTTCAGTGGGGTGATCTCAGCTCACTGCAACCTCAGCCTCCCGGGTTCAAGTGATCCTCCTATCTCAGTCTCCCGAGTAGCTGGGATTACAGGCACTTGCCATCACAACCAGATAATTTTTGTATTTTTAATAGAGAGGGGTTTCACCATGTTGTCCAGGCTGGTGTCGAACTCCTGACCTCAGGTGATTTGTCCCCTCGGCCTCCCAAAGTTCTGGGGTTACAGAGAAGTTCTTGAAACTGCTTGAGATGACCCTTGAAGCAATAGTTTAAGAAAGGAAGTTTTAGGTAGAAGGTATGCAGTATTGCGTGAGCTTCCTAGAGAGGTCAAGACCAAAAAATTCATTGCAGAAGTAGCAAGTGAGAGAGAATTCTGGAACTTAGTGTGCAAATCCATGGCCACAGGTTCCTGGGCAGGCAGGCTTTGTTTTTTTGTTTTTTAAATTTTAGAGACCGTCTCTCTCTGGCTGGTTGCTGGCACCATTTGGGTAGCTGATACATCAATTTTTTTTTTTTTTTTGAGACAAGGTCTTGCTCTGTTGCCTAGGCTAGAATGTAGTAGTGTGATCATGGTTCACAGAAATCTCAAATTCCTGGGCTCAAGCAATCCTCCCCCCCCTTTTTTTTTTGAGATGGAGTCTCACTCTGTTGCCCAGGCAGGAGTACAGTGGTGTGATCTCGGCTCATCGCAACCTCTGCTGCCTGGGTTCAAGCTATTCTCCTGCCTCAGCCTCCCGAGTAGCTGGGATTACAGGCAACTGCCATGGTGCCCAGCTAATTTTTGTAGTTTTAGTAGAGATGAGGTTTCACCATGTTGGCCAGCTGATCTTGAACTCCTGACTTCGTGATCCACCCACCTCAGCCTCCCAAAGTGTCTGGATTACAGGCATGAACCACTGTGCCCACCCTAATTTTTAAATTTTTTGTAGAGGTGGGTCTGATTGTGTTGTCCAGGCTGGTCTTGAACTCCTGGGCTCAAGAAATCCTCCTGCCTTGGCCTCTCAAAATGTTGGGATTGCTGGTGTGAGCCACTGCGCCTGGCTCAAATTTTTGGATTATGTACTAACTAGAAGGAGAAAAGAACTCCCCATTTTTGTTACTAATAGATGAGTTTTGAAAAGAGCTCTAAGGAGGGCTATGTAGGGAAAAACAGGCTTAATTAGAGCCAGTGACTGCTGCTACTGTTCACGGTGATAAGTAACATATGTAGGAGGCAGGAATTGGAGTTGAGTCTAAGACGCCAGCGAAATCAAGATATCAGAATACAAGGTCACTAGGAGAAATGCACAGCCCTTCTTTTCTCAAGAATCCTTGAAGAGCCTGGCATGGTGGCTCACACCTGTAATCTCAGCACTTTGGGAGGCAAGGTAGGTGGATCACCTGAGGTCAGGAGCTCAAGACCAGCCTGACATACATAGAGAAACCCTGTCTTTACTAAAAAAAAAAAAATTAGCTGGGCATGGTGGCAGATGCCTGTAATCCCAGCTACTTGGGAGGATGAGGCAAGAGAATTGCTTGAACCTGGGAGGTGGAGGTTGCCGTGAGCTGAGATCATGCCATTGCACTTCAGCCTGGGCAACAAGAGCGAAACTCCATCTAAAAAAAAAAGGAGGCGGAGGTTGCAGTGAGCCCATATTGCGCCACTGCACTCCAGTTTGGGAGACAGATCGAGACTCCGTCTCAAAAAAAAAAAATCCTCGAGGGTAGTGGGAGGGACACTAGATTTTCCCTGTATATAGGGTGGGAAAGTTATTTTCATATAAATCTTTTTTCTTTATTTCATTGTGTTTTCTTGCTTAAACAATTCTTATGTAATTACCTTTTTTTTAAAAAAAAATCAGTCATCTTTTATTTGGAGGTTAATTCCCATTAGAATATGAAAGGATTCAGCAACGATTGAGATTGTGACCCTCATGGAGGGGTTCGGGCCAAGAAGGTTGTGGGGGCGTGCAGAGCGTGTCCTCTTCTTCAGTGGTAGTTGCGTGGCTGCTCATGCTTGAGCTTGTAGGAAAGGCAGTAGCTGAAAAGCACGTGGCCTGCCAGCACCATGGTAACCCCTGAAATGCCCCCTTCTTCACGCTGATGTACTTGTCGTAGTACTGGTGGCACTCTCTTTGAAACGCTCTGGCAATGCCGCTAGGGGTGAAGTCCTACATCAGGATCCAGCGTTGCAGCTCGCCTAGTTGGACCTCCAGATTTTGTCCTTCACTAGTGCGATTGACAGCATCTTGGAGTCCTGGTGTCTGCTGTGCCCGTAATTGCTTATATTTAACATTTATTTTATTTTGATATTTTATTTTGAGATGGGGTCTTGCTGTGTTGTCTAGGCTGGTCTCAAATTCTTGGGCTTAAGGGATCCTCCTGCCTCAGCCTTCTGAGTTGCTTGGATTACAAGCACATACCATCATACCCAGCTTATTTTTTAAACTAACTTTAATTTTTAAACAAGTATTATGTATGCATGGTATAAAATACAAAAAGTTCAAAAGCATGTACAATGAAAAATAAGCATCCTCTCCTCCTCAGTTTCCTAGCTATTTAGGTACCATTGTTTTTTTTTTGCTTAGTTTGTTTTTTTGAGACGGAGTCTTGCTGTGTTGCCCAGGCTGGAGGACGGTGGCATGATCTTGCCTAACTGCAACCTCCACCTTCTGGGTTCAAGCGATTCTCCTGCTTCAACCTCCTGAGTAGCTGGGATTACAGGTGTGTGTCACCATGTCCGACTAATTTTTGTATTTTTAGTAGGGACAGTGTTTCACCATATTATCCAGGTTGGTCTTGAACTCCTCACCTCATGATCCACCCGCCTCAGCCTCCAAAAGAGCTGGGATTACAGGCATGAGCCACCGCACCTGGGTCTGTTGTTTTTTTTTTTTTTTGGCAGATTCTGTCTGGAGTGCAGTGGTGTGATCCCAGCTCACTGTAACCTCTGCTTCCTAGGTTCAAGCAGTTCTCCTGCCTCAACCTCCCAAATAGCTGGGATTACAGGCATTTGCCTGTAATCCCAGATTATTTTTTTATTTTTAGTAGAGAGGGGGTTTCACCATGTTGGTCAGCCTAGCCTTGAACATCTGACCTCAGGTGATCTGCCCATCTCAGCCTCCCAAAGTTCTGAGACTACAGGTATGAGCCGCTAATCCTATGGGCTCCCAGCCACCATTGTTATCAATTTCTTGAGTACTCCTCAAAAGATAGTAAACATTTGTTTAACACAGAAGTTTACACATATTTTTTCCTCACACAAATGGTAGCATACTTTGCATAACCTTCTGCATTTTCTTCATGTAATGCTATATGTTGGTTATATCTTTCCATATTACTACAGATAGAGCCCTCACCCCCACACACTTGTAATAGATTTTGGCTGCATAGTATTTCATGGTTAGAAGTACCATGATTGGGCCGGGCGCGGTGGCTCAAGCCTGTAATCCCAGCACTTTGGGAGGCCGAGGCGGGTGGATCACGAGGTCAACAGATCGAGACCATCCTGGTCAACATGGTGAAACCCCATCTCTACTAAAAATACAAAAATTAGGTGGGAGGGATGGCCCATGTCTTTAATACCAGCTACTTGGGAGGCTGAGGCAGGAGAGTTGCTTGAACCTGGAAGGTGGGGGTTGCAGTGAGCTGAGATCGCACCACTGCACTCTAGCCGGGTGGCAGAGCACATTAGGCCTCCCAAAGTGCTGGGATTACAAGTGTGAGCCACTGTGCCCAGCTGTGACTGGATTCTTTCTATGGCTTCCTGCTTCACAGATGTCTTCCGGATCTGTATCTTCAGATGCAAACCCATATCCTCTTTGTGCTCATCTGTATACTATCACGTAGAGAGACAAATCCCATTTCTCTACTCTAGGAAAGTCTTAGAGACAGAAATCCATTTTTTTTTTTTTTAAAGAAACTGAGTTTCACCATGTTGGCCAGGCTGATCTCGAACTCCTGACCTCAGGTGATCCACCTGCCTCAGCCTCCCAAAGTGCTGGGATTGCAGGCATGAGCCACCATGCCCAGCCTTTTTTTTTTTTTTGAGATGGTCTCACTCTATCACCCAGGTTGGAGTGCAGTGGCACAATCTTGGCTCGCTGCAAGTTCTGTCTCCCAGGTTCAAGAAATTCTCCTGCCTCAGCCTCCCAAGTAGCTGGCATTACAGGTATGTGCCATCATGCCTAGCTAATTTTTGTATTTTTAGTACAGGCAGGCTTTCACCATGTTGGCCAGCCTGGTCTTGAGTTCCTGACCTCAAGTGATCCGCCTGCCTCAGCCTCCCAAAGTCCTGGGATTACAGGCATGAGCCACTGCACCAGACCCTAGGAGTACATTTTGATGCATTTGAGGGAAAAGGAATGTTCGGTGTACATGAAGATGGGGTGGTAGCAGAAGCTTCAGAAGAAGCCAGTGATTGGTCAGGGTTGAACTGCAGTTCACAGTTTGCTATCTTGGCTTTGTACTGGAGGGTGAAAACATCATAATCCCAAAGGCCTTTGCTGGAAAACGAAAATAAAGTAGTGAGTGTACCATTGCTGCATCTTGGCAATGGGCCTTCCAGGCTCCAGTTTCTTTCTTTATAATCTGTTCTCCAGCCCACTGTGAGAGTTCTCTTTCAAAAATACATTTCCTACTTCCAGCTTGAACGTCTTGCCTTTGTGGCCTCCAGAATAAAATCTGAGTGATTTAGCACGAGGTCATTAGACACACAGTTCTGTCTTCCCTTCGAGCTTCATGGTTTTTCCATTCCTCCTGTCCCATTTCTCACCTGTCCCCCATCCTTGCAGCCACGCTGAACTTCAGACTGTGTGATGTCTCCTTTTCTTTTTTCTTTACTTATTGATTGGAGATCTGGTTAAAGAATGCCTGCTTGAGGGGTGGTAAAAAAAAATAAGAATGCCTTCTCTTTATGAAGTCTTTTCTACTTTCTCTCTCTTTTTTTTTTTTAAAGGCAATTTTTAAAGTTTATTTGATGTATTTGACGATCAGCGATTAGTTCTCATCCACATTGACTGTAGATTTTTGAAAGTGGTAACAGGTACATAGGTAACCAAAGTATACAGCTTATTTGGTGAATCTTCATCCTCATTACATTTTCCGGACAACTGCACACGGATTCGGCATGGGACATTCCTTATTACTTTGGTCCAGACAGCTTTGCTGAGCCTGGTATCAATGCACACATCTGGAGTTCCCATCTCCTTCAGAGCAAATTTCCAAATCTCTTTGAGTGCCGGAGGGGCACGCTTCTTAAAGCCCACTCCATGGATGCTCTTGTGAATGTTGATGGTGTATTCTCGGGTCACCACCTTGTTGATGGCAGAATGGCCCTTTTTCTTCTTGCCATCCTTCTTTGCGGGAGCCATTCTGTCGGGTCCGAGGTGGAAAAGTCTACTTTTTCTCATAAAGAACCCTTGAGCTGGGTGTGGTGGCTCATGCCTGTAATCCCAGCACTTCGAGAGGCCAAGGTGAGCAGATCACGAGGTCAGGAGTTCCAGACCAGACTGGCCAACATGGTGAAACCCCATTTCTATTAAAAATATAAAAATTAGCCGGGCATGGTGGCGCACTCCTGTAGTCCCAGCTACTCAGGAGGCTAAGGCAGAAGGATCGCTTGAACCTGGGAGGCAGAGGTTGCAAGTGAGCCGATATCATGACACTGCACTCCAGCCTGGGTGACTGAGCGAGACTCTGCCTCAAAAAAAAAAAAAAAAAGAACTTTTGAGACAGAATCACTCTCTGTACTGCCGGGGAGTGTGTACATAGTTGTACCATTGCACTCATCATGCTACATTGCGCCATCTAACAGGTCTGCTATCCTGTTTGTCACGCACTGCCATGTGGGCAGGGTCTAAGTGTCCTCTTCATCTCTATAGTCCAATTCACAATGCCTGCCACATTTTAGGCACCAAATACAAATATGTTGAATCAATGATTGAAGACTCACAGTCTAGAGTAACGGTGTGATTTGGGACAAATCTTTTATTCTCATCTGGGATCAGTATTTTTTTTTTTTTTTTTTTTTGAAAAAGTCTTGCTCTGTCACCCAGACTGAAGTGCAGTGGCACAGTCTCAGCTCATTGTAACATCTGTCTCCCAGGCTCAAGCGATTCTCCTGCTTCAGACTCCTGAGTAGCAGGGATTACAGGTGTGCGCCAACTACCACCTGGCTAATTTTTGTATTTTTGGTAGAGATGGGGTTTCAGCATGTTGGCCAGGCTGGTCTTGAACTCCTGACCTCAAATGATCCACCTGCCTCAGCCTCCCAAGGTGCTGGGATTACAGGCATGAGCCACCGAGCCTGGCCAGTAGTTTTTTTTTATTTTTTGAGATGGAGTCTCGCTCTGTTGCCCAGGTTGGAGTGCAGTGGCATAGTCTCGGCTCACTGAAACTTCTGCCTCCTGGGTTCAAGCTATTCTCCTGCCTCAGCCTCCCAAGTAGCTGGGATAATAGGTGCCTGCCACCACACCCAGCTAATTTTTTGTATTTTTAGTAGAAATGGGGTTTCACCATGTTGACCAGGCTGGTCTCGAACTCCTGATCTTGTGATCCGCTTGCCTCAACCTCCCAAAGTGCTGAGATTACAGGTGTGAGCCACCGTGACTGGATGCCAGTATTTTTTATAACTAAAAAATTATCTCTTCCTGTCTTAAAATTTTGCAAGTCTAGGATGATAGATATGTCTTAATTCTTGAAATTAAAAGTTGAGAAGTGTTTGTCACTTTTACTCTTTAAGTGTCTATAATCATACTTCACTAATATAAAATCTGATGAGTGGCTGGATTTTATTTCTTATACTAGCTGGCCATTTCAGTTTTGCTCTACTGCTAAGCATGAGATATATCAATCTGCCATACCATAATCAAAGAACCTGATGCCATTGCATTGTTTATTCAAGGTAGTCCCAGAACTCCTTCAACATATGTAAACTTTTTTTCTCATGTTTTTCTGCTATTTTCCGCCTTTGAATTTTTTTGTCATGCTAAAAATATACATAACTTTTTTTTTTTTTAAGACAAAGTCTCATTCTGGAGTGCAGTGGTGCTATCTTGGCTCACTGCAACCTCTGCCTCCCGGGTTCAAGCGATTCTCCTGCCTCAGCCTCCTGAGTACCTGGGACTACAGGCACGTGCCACCATGCCTGGGTAATTTTTTGTATTTTTACTAGAGATGGTGTTTCCCCATGTTAGCCGGGATGGTCTTGATCTACTGACCTTGTGATCTGCCCACCTCTGGCTCCCAGAGTGCTGGGATTATAGGTGTGAGCCACCATGCCTGGGCCATATATAACATTTTTTATTTTAACCTCTTTAAAGTGTTCCCTCTTGAGTTCTATTGGCAAATAATTCAAGG